CCCCCCTCCCTGATCGAAATGACCAGGCACACTAGTTGATTTCGGTAAAATTCGAGTTTACTCTCCTAAATAGGCCTTTGAGGTAATTCTTCACTCTAGATAAGAGTTGGAAATTACGCCTGGAATTATTATCACCCCCAAAAAATTTAACTTCAATCGTTACTCATATTACTCTTTAAAAAAACAGTTCAGCCGAGCCATCGACTTAAATGAATGCGCACGCCTCTTTTGTAGCCTCTGATTTGGCAGACGCTACCTTTCCTCGAAAGGACTTTCATGGCTTGGTGGAACAGGAGAAGTACCGAAGCAGCTTCCATCTTTCCGCGAGTAGTGCATCTCGTTTGGTGCCAAATCCGCTCGTCTTGGAATTATCAGACTGCTGAACTATATCTCCACATAGCCGCTACAGTGCTTTAAGGTATAAGGTTTAAGATAAGGTAATTATGAATGCGGATTGGCATTGTGTGAGAGTTCTGGATAAATGCAATCAACTTTTAAAATAACCGGACAATTACGTCCCTTAACTCGGTAATCAGTAAAACAAAAATTTCAACGTATGTCTAAGAGGCTTGGCACAAGACTTGGAGATTTTGAGATTGGACTAACGGTTGGCAACGAAAGCGCCACAGATTGATGGGTTGACTTCTCTTAAGTGATACTTTTGAGGGAAGTCATTCAAATCCATAACTTCCTTCAGAATAAAAACTGTGAACTCAAAGTTTGGAGAGCAGTCAGTCAGAAGAGTACCATGCCAAATCACTTAAATACCATTTGTTATCTTGTGATTGTGTTACTATTTAACCACGTTTTACTGATATATTTTCTTTTCATTTAAAGTCAATATATATATATATATCACCAGCAGACAGGATAGAAAGCCACAATTCACTTGAATTGATGACTAATAGGCGAATTATGAGCAGCAAATATTCCACCTCAACCCATTCACCCCCCTTATCTCATTCCTTCATCAAGTTCTTCTGTCTGCTAAACGCAGGCAACCTTGATAGCATCTTATTTTAAATAGCGGTGTGCAGTCATTCAGGAATTTGTTCTTTTTGTGTGTGTGTGTGTTCGATCTCCTGTTGTCATATTGTGTTCTGCATGTTCGAAAATTTATTTGTTTGTAAAATGGCTTATCAAATTCTGCAATCTGTTGGCTCAAAACAGGGTGATGGCAGAGGATGTAACTGAATAGCTGGGAGAAAAACGAACACATCGCTCCATCTTACAAAATTCAAAGTTCCCCTGACTTGTCCCAAATCTCCCCTGAGAAATAATCGATTGTTTAATAATTGCAGTGGTCGAGCCTGCAACTTCAATTGCACTCTTCCTTCAAAGGCTTCAAAACTAGCATGAGCTTTCACAATCTTAACAGAGCTCCCCTCAATTGAAATACTTCCATATTCGAACTTGGGGTGTGCGATAGACTTGCCTCTACGTGGTGCACCCTGGGCAACGTATATTCACACGGCAAAAAAGTCTATTAACTGGCAGCTGACTTCTGACTTCAAACTACCCTCACCCCATTGTATGTCATATTCGACTACATCCACAGTACTCACCTCACCTTTTTCTACCTTCGTCTTTGAAGCACTCTTCTGTTCCCCCTCTCGACTTTTTTCCACTTTGATGTTCCTTCCCCTCTGTGAAGCCTGAAGTCAACTAAGGGGCTAATGATAACTATCAGAACGCCTGCCATCTGATATAAATAAAAAATAAATATTCGAACTTTTTCCAAAATTTCCACACTGTCTGAGCATATTCAGACGTCAAAGACATGGTTTGAAAATTCGGACGTTTGGAATGAGGCAGGATGTCCTTTCATTTTGGTGAAATGTTAAACATCTTTTTGCGTTTTAAGATCTTTCTCCTGATATTCAAAGTGAATTCACTCTCTCTCTCTCTCTCGACAATTGGAGATCCTCTACGAGT